TCATCAATTACCTTGAATCATTCAAAAACACATCAAAACAATAGAGCATATTTTCAATCAATTACCTTAGTAATGAAACTTATCCTTGTATATAACAAAATAAAAATACCATTTAATAGAATTCCAAAAAGATTATAAATTGAAATGAATTTGACAAACCTGTTGAAAACTTTTGATAGTTTTGCCAAAACTCCGACCAATTTCCGGCAACTGTTTAGGACCAAACACAAGCGCCGCAACCCCAGCAATAACAGCAAGCTCCGGAACACCAAGCCCGAACAAAGAGTTGCAACAAAAACCTTTTCGGGTTGCGGGGCAGGTTCGGGCCCTCAAGCCCAGGCCCGTTGTGTTGACCCGGAAGAAGGCGGTGGTGGTGCTTTGGTTGAGGAATAAGGAGGATTTAGAGGAAGAAAGGAAGGTGGATTTTTGAGGAGAAGAGAGAGAAAGTGAGGGTGTGAGTGTTAAGATCTCCATTTTTGCAAAGGTTTTTGGTGGGTTTTTTGGAATTTTGAGGTCAGGGTAAAATATGATGGTGTTGGATAAGAGGTGATGGAGTTTGATAATTCATTTTTCTTTGGAATTTTGTGACTTGTTATCACAAAATATCCATAGGAAAATGATAGATTATTGATTATGAATTGATTATAGTATATGTTGATTTTATTTTTATTTTTATTTTTTATTTATTTTTTTAATTCCTAATTTGATAAAGTTAAGGCCCCTAGTGAGTAAGAACCTCTCACAAGTCTACTTGGCTCGAGTTAGCAGGCCACGGCTCTTGGGAATAGGGGGGAAGGGTAAGAGAATCCCCACTCCCAAAGAGCCTAAATTTTTCCACTATACCAAGTTTTGCTTGGTGTCTCATTTCGTATTAGTTGTTACATTTTCTCAAATGCTCGTATTGTATAACACAGATTAAGGAGCACTTCATATGAAGTATTTTATACAAAGTAACACTATTGTTTTGTGATATTCATTGTTATATGGTGATTAATTTAAACACATTGAAAAATAAAGGTGTTTGGTAATTTGGTTTGTAAAAATTGTAGTCATAGTATGAGGTATAGAATTAGAATGAGTGTTTTGTTCACCTTATTTTTAAAATAATTTCAGTTCAAGAAAAATAAGTTCTGGATAAGGGTTGAGTTTAGATAAGTGAAAATTAAGTGAATAGAACACACCCTTATTGGTTGTTTAAGAAAATTGCAATTTCTAATCCAAACATCATAAGGTACAACGAGAAAGCCCCAATTTATCACGTGATAAACAAAATTCATTTATCAAGTTAAAAAATTATAAATAAATCAACAAAAATCAACATGCCATTTTCGTAATTATATAAAAAAATGTGGGCCCATATATAATTTTAAAAAACTTGTTGATTTATTTACAGTTTTGTCATATGATAAATAAAAATTTGTTTATGAAGGTGATAAACTTGTGATTTATCAAGGTACAATATGGTGTTTAGAAATCTAGGGGAGAGTATAAGTGTATAGCTCATATTAATCCTCATATCAAATTAAATCAATAAATTCAATTTTGAACAACACCAAAAACAAGTATTAAGAACTAAATTCCAACACCGTACAACACTCTTATTTTAATTCTGATTTCACACCCTTATTACTCTAAGAACCAAACTCCCAATATTCGAACTTGTTCTCTTCACCTGAAATATGGATATCTGGTCCGATTTTAAAAGATTTGATTTGAATTTTTATTATCTGGTCTAATCTGATCTGGTTTAATAATTTGACTAAATTTTGACCTCATTTTAATACTAATCTATAAAGAAAAATATTATCAAAATGGATCTTATTAGATTCGTCTCATTATGAACTTTTCAAATTTATAATTTTTATAATTTTTTTAATACGCAATTAACGATATTTAGCAATAAGTAAATGATAATTAAAAGTTCTAATCTGATCAGATCTGAATGTTTTTGGTCTTGTCTGATTTGAATTTATTAAGGAATAAGTAATAAGTATCTTAAACAAGTTGAAGAGAACAAGCCCTTCTTGTGAAGTTGTGATGGTTTATGTAAGAAAAAAATTGTCAAATTGAGGAGAATTTTTATTAACAACATCTTAAGCAAACTTTCGAGTAACTCGATGTGATTGATAACTTAATGTCACTGTATACAATATAAATTAGTAAGTATGTACCTCCGTATTCGTTTTGGTTTAAACAGTTTGTAAACAATTAATAAGGCTAAATTGATTCGAGTTAAACGAGTTTGTAAACAGTTCATGGATTGTAATCAATTTGTTCTCAAGTTCTATCAGAGTTAAACGGGTTTATAAATAGTTCAATTTCAAAGGGTCCACGGGTTATAATCGGTTTTTCCTAGTTCTAACGGTTTCGAGCTGGATTAGTTGTTGACAACTCTTTAACATACACATGTAAGATCAAAACACTTGCTTTTCTTATTCATTTCCCGCCATTTTTAACAATCATTACAGAGCTCACCACAAAGAAAAACCATGTCCTCAACTTCAAAGTTGATCTACACTCTCCTTCATCGAAAACCAAAATCTTTCAATCAATTGAAACAAATTCATGCCATACTCATTACAACTAACCTTAAATCTCCTTCAACATTAGCCAAACTTATCGAAAACCATTTTTCACTTTCTCCTAATAAAGCTCCAATCCATGCTCATCTCATTGTTAATAATAATCAAACAGATTACCAACTTTTTCTCCTTAATACTTTGATCAAATGCAGCTTACCCAGAGATTCAATTCATCTTTTTGCTAAATGGGTTTCTGTTTCTTCCATTGTTTTTGATGATTATACCTTCATTTTTGCTCTTGGCGCGTGTGCTCGGTCGCCTTTCGTATCGGGTTTATATGAAGGAAAACAGATTCATGCTCGCGCTATGAAACTCGGGTTTATGCCGGATCTTTTAGTTTCTACAACTGCTTTACATTTTTATGCGAATAATGGTGGTATCAATTTTGCAAGGAAGGTGTTTGATGAAATGCCTGTGAGAAGTTCTGCTACTTGGAAATTTGGAATGCGCTTATAACAGGGTATTCCTCGCAGAAACAAAATTCCCATGAGAATTCAATTAAGGCTTTGGTGTCTTTTAAGGAGATGATGGTGGCGGATGATTCGGATGTGAAACCTAATGGCATGACTATGGTTTGTGTGCTTTCCACTGTTTCACAGCTAGGTTCCCTAGAGAGCGGGTGTAGTGTTCATGGGTATATAGCGAAAACGATTGATGCCCCGGAGAATGATGTGTATGTTGGAACTAGTTTGGTTGATATGTACTCTAAATGCGGGTGTCTTGGTATCGCGTCCAAAGTTTTTGCTATGATGAATGAGAGGAATGTACGTACTTGGACCGCGATGGTTACAGGACTAGCATTCTATGGGAAAGGAAAAGAAGCAATAGAGCTATTAAATGAAATGAGGGAATATGATGTAAGGCCAAACACAATAACCTTCACAAGTACGTTGTCTGCTTGTTGTCATGCAGGACTTGTTGAAGAGGCCTTATATTTGTTTCACAACATGGAGAAGGAATTTGGTGTCACGCCTCAGATTGAGCATTATGGGTGCATAGTTGATCTACTTGGAAAATCAGGGCTCTTGAGAGAAGCTTATGAGTTTATAGTTCGAATGCCTACTGAATCGAATTCAGTCTTGTGGAGGAGTTTGCTTGGTTCATGTAGGCTTCATGGGGATTTCGTGATGGGTGAGAGAGTGGGGAAGATACTACTTCAGCTCCAATTAGATTTACATTTAGGGAATGAAATATCTACGAGTAAAGATTATATAGGTCTTTCGAATGTCTATGCACTGGCAGAAAGGTGGGAAGATGTAGGAACAATTAGAGAAGAGATGAGGATGAAGGGTTTAGAAATTAAGCCTGGCCATAGTGCTGTCCACTAAATGATCTGGTTTAGCTCATTGCGAATGAAATCTATTGAATACAACTAGTGCTGTCCACCAAGTAATCTGGTTTAGGTAGTGCATCTCTTTGCGAAGGGAAACCGATGAGTACACTAGAGTGGTTCACTGAGCTAAGTTGTTCACCTTCAAGTATGATAGACTAGTGATGACAGCCTGAAATTATGCTTGATTACAGGAAACTTGTACTATAGTGTATAATTCTCAGGAATTTTTGCTGTCGTGGCTGAAAGTGTTTGTAAAGTGGTTATCTGCACGAGGATCTAATCTTTGGAGGAGTTTAACTATGCTGCCTTGCTGGTCACTCTACTGAGCGAATTTGCAGGTGTGGAAATTGTATGAGAATGATTAACAGTTGCACCAGAGAGAGAAAGAGAGATTGTTGAAAATAATGACCAATACCTTACAAGAAAGTGCATATTATTTCATGGAAGTCTTTCACGGACTTAGAGAGTATTATGTAAAAGCTTTAATATCATAAAAGAAAGTAATGAGTAATGACCAATACCTTACAAGAAAGTGCATATTATTTCATACTTCTTTCGTTCTAATAATATTGCAACTATGAAACTTTTGCATTGTTCATCATTCTTGTTTGACCATATAATATGATTTATACGTTACGCAAAATATATAGTCACATAAGATCTTGTTAGATTCGTCTCATAAAATACTTTCACAATATCAACTTTTTATAATTTTTACTCTTATATAATTATAAATATTTAACATATAATATGTGTTTGAGATGCGTAATTTTATCCTTGTTGCAATATTATTGAAACGGAGAAAGAGAGTATTATGTAAAAGCTTTAATATCATAAAAGAAAGTGAAGATTACCTTGCTGCATATAATATGGAAAACTATGCAAGTTTTTTAAAACGAAAGAACAACTTCAATCTTAAACGCCTAAATGGAGGCAACATAAGACCCAAACCATATTAGTGTCTCAAGTTTTAGCAGCTCGCTCACTTATAATTAGTGAACAAACACATGCAGCTTGTCGCACGCTAAAAATGTTTTTAATACATGTACGAATTTGTCAAGATATGTAGACCACTCAAAACTAACTTTCAGCAAATAACATTAACCTCCTCATTAAGGCAAATGAAGGTTGTTTAATCTGTTCAACGAATTCTTTTCCACAGTAACAATGACCATAATATCAACAGGGAATCAATCTACTACTAAACTTCATAGCTATTTTTTTTTTGTTTGTTTTGTTTCTGGGTAGATGAGATGGACTAGATTCCTCACGTGTCAACTAATACGCTCAAATTAGCAAGCTAGGACCCTCAAGGGCGTTGGAGGGAGGGGGAAGAGATTAGCAGAAACGCTTATCCCTTTACTGTAGTTAGGAGATTTCGATCATATAACCTCAAGGCCATCACAAGGTAGATCCTACAACTACAAGAAGCTATCAGTAATGCTAATCCATAAATGAAATAGATTAGACGGCAAGACAACGCCGTAGCTCATGCTATTTGGCAATTCAAAGGCAATTCAATGCCTCATGGTCCAATATGCAATGACAGGAAAAAATTAACAATACTTTACATGACAATGGCAGATCAATAATGGATCTGAAGAAATCTGCAGGACAATGGTTATTGGTTGCATGATTATTGATCAGCACCACCATGTGGGCTACCTTGATCCATTCCCCCACGAATCCTTTTCTGGAGGTGCTCTAAGCTGGCAACTCTTTGCATGGAAGAAGTTCTTGCAATCTTGCTGCCACCCAATACTTGTGTTGCAGCATTTTGCAGCACATCATCAATAGAAGAAATGTCAGTGACACCGTTGTCAGCTCTTGGATGAGACGCAGGAAGAGGATTGTCAACGGGCTGATAATAATGAGTTTGTTTAGGGTCATCTTGCACTGGCACAGCAGCATCAGCTGAGTCAGAAGGGCAAGGACTCCCACCAAAGGGTCCCATTCCCATAGCAGTGATTTCGGACATAGCCTGCAGCAAAGGATTCATCCCTGTAACTCTTTTCACAGTCTCCTCTGCCATTTTTACCTGAAGAACAAACTTTTCCATTAACTAGGGGAAGCAGATTAAAAAAACTTTTAGTTCCTAGTTTTCAGCAAAATTTGTAATACATGATACTCAAGTCAAGGAATACCTTTGCCCTTAAAGTTTCCACATCAGCTTTTAAAACTCTATTGTCCACAGCAGCATCATTGAATTTTTGGCTTATGTCAGTAAGACGCTTCAATAATGAAGAATTTTCACCTCTCAGCTGAGAAACCTATTGTGAACAGAGGAATTATTGAAGATGATGAGTAAAATACATAATGGTACAGATCAATATCAATACAAAAGTAGATCCAAAATACCTGTGTCTCAAGTTCAGTCAGATGTGCCTGCTTTCTCCTCCTTGAGCGTCTAGCTGACTCTCTATTTGAAAGCATTCTGATATACAGAACAGTCATATGTAAACATGAATGGAGAGAGAGTTGATACTTAACCTAAAGACATTAAATGAATAAAAAAAATAACAAGTACGAACCTAATAGCAACTCAAAGAGCCAGACAAATTAGTGCAGGAAACACACAATGGAATCCATACTTGGAGGTTCTTGTTTGAACATATTGAGAAGATCAAAATCACAAAAATTGAAAAATAGATATATTGAGAAGACCAAAATCACAAAATTGAAAATTAGATATAAAAATTTTATGAGGTATTGTTCTACAGCATTTCATCACTTAGAAACATTATGGCCATCTCAGGACATTTTCATTAGATACTTCATGTTATAAGGGGGAAATTTAGTTGATTCAAATTCAACAATTCATCACCACGTATGCATCCACCTCCATCCACCACTGCAACAACCAACTTATTCCTTATCCAGCCACCGTCACCAAAACCAATAATCCTGCCCACCTCCCTCACAGATCAAGCACATCCCATGCATCCATCTCCAGCCACAACCACTAATCACCATAACTCATTTCTTGTCCATCCACCATCACCATAGTCACTAATCCCACCCAACAGGGGTGAGCATATAATAAGGAAACCCAAAATTGGAGCAAAAAAATTAAATAAAAAAAATAATAATAATAATTTGAGACCAAATCATAAAAGAAAAGATTTATTTTTTAAATAAGTTGGCAATAATTTATTAGAAGTCTAAAAAATGATCCAAAAGCCTGTAGCAGATCCAGTTCCGGTTGCATTTTGAGGAGCCAAGTCCAGTTTTAGGAACCTTGGTAGGGTACCTTGCGTTGCTCACACCTACCACCCACCACCCTCACAAATCAAGCCCTCCTACCACTTGCTCTCACTACTTCCACCACCAAAAGAACCCACAACCAAGCACATCCCATCACTATTTCAAACAATCCCCACACAACTCACCACCTACCACCATAATTTGTTCCTTGTCCAGCCATTACCACCATTACCATACTCCCCAACCAATCCCGCCCAACATCCTCATAAATCGAGCCCACCCAACACCGTCTCATAAAACTTTCAATTCCACCACCAAAAACACCCAAAACCAAGAACACCCCTGTGACCCACCACCATCTTGGTCACCATTCTACACCCCCGCATAAAGAGAGAGAGAGAGAGAGAGAGAGAGAGAGAGAGAGAGAGAGAAGACCAGCGCCACTCATTTTTCATTTAAAATTGAAAAATAATGCAAATCAAACAAAAAGGACATGGGAATTATTAGATCTGCAATAATCATTTATTTGCAAAATTTTATTTCAAAAAAAAATAAAATTCTTTGAATAGAATAAACCTCTTCATCCTCATCTCAAAGGTTTGCACGTTGCCGGGGTAGTATAAATGAGTTGTCGCTTGTCGGCAGTCTGTGAATTCTGAGTGTTTTGGAGGGGAGAGAGAGTGACTAGTGATAAATGGTGGAGGTGATTGTCACAGAAAAACCTTAGATTGTAATTAGATGTAAAATGTTTGTTGGAGATTCAAATATAAAAGAAAGTGAGTCGGCGAGGTGAGATTAATTGAGTAATTAAGGTGAGTTGACGGGGCTTGAATTTAATTTGACTACCTTATTATAAGGCAATAAAGTCATTTATGGGGGTGTAACGTTCCCCATTAGGAGATGGTACGACGTATGACTATTTAAAAACAACCCAAAAAGGAACAATTTAATATAGTCTCACTTGACTTTGCTATGAAAAGTGGTGTCTATGAATTAGATGTGTTAGTTAAAGTAAGCAGACAATTTGCACTTCATCAAATTTGGCTCCCTATAAGAAGAAATAGTAATTTTATAACATGTTGCTAATTGAAATCACAAATAAATTACTAGTTTCACATGAAGTCTGACTTAGCAACACATCATCCAGATGACATCACGAGGAGCTTATGGAAGTGTTTTATAAAACAACTGACATCACATAAATTACTTTCTCGATATAGCTGGAATAAGCTTCACGTGAAGTCTTACATAGCAACACATCATCCAAATGACATCATGAGGAACTCATGGAAGCATTGCACTGAAACAAATGGTATCATGCAACTTTGATGCAAATTCAATGGCAATGAAGCCTTTAGATGACATGCTGAATTATGATAGAAAATTCATAATCAGTCTAAAAGCATGCAAGAGAAGCCTATCAATGTGAACATTGAGTTGATAGAAGAGTGAATTATGAAGTCTGCAACATTAAGAATAGACTAAATGAAGGTTGGAGACAAACACCTCAGCAGGATCCATACCAGATATCTTATTATAATTTATAAATTAGTAATCTATCAGATTATCTGAAGTATACAAGATCACTTTAGTTTCCTTATACTTTAATTGCCTAGCATTTTTCTAAGTTAGGCTATCTTAGTTCCATTTAATTTAGAAAGCATCATATTTTCCACAAAAGATTTGTTAATTAGTGATCATATATCATGTTGTATACAATCCAAATAGAGTACTGGTCACACCAGCAAGAACTAACTAATAATAGGAGTGTCAGAAAAGAAAAGGTTGCCACTTTCCCCATCACTGAGCAATGGGATGGCAGGATAATTATTTAAAGAGTATGCTCCAGAAAGTACCTACCTCCGAACACGCTTCACATCAGCAGGATCCATATTGTCAGTTTCACCTTCTAAATCGTCATCATCTGACTGATCAGAATCATAGCTGGTGGTTTGGTTGGCCTGAACAACAGGTTTCTTGGGCAGGGCGGGAGGGGAGAGAATTCCAATAGGCTTTGAATCCTTATCTAGCGACCCTGTGAGGTAGTTATGTGAATAGTCAAAATCAGTAACATAATTTTGGAACTCATCCAACAAACAAGTGTGTGTGTGTGTGCGTGCGTGTGTGCGTGCGTGCGTGCGTGTGTGTGTGTGTATAGGGAGCATTGGCCAATCCAAAAATAATAATTTAGTAGGATCTCATAAGTTGTAAGGGATGGAGGAGGAGGATCTTTGTCGATGATAACACGGAATAATCAAATTTGGTTCATGTAGCCGACCCCACTTATGGGATTAAGGTTTTGATTGATTGATTGGTAGGATCTCATAAGTTTTGAGTCTTGCCTAATCTGCAACATAATTATATACTGGGTAAATCTTCTGGCTCATTAAGATCTACCGTATTAAGTTTTAGATAACTAGTTTTTTTGAAAGCAAGTTTTAGATAACTAGTTTGATACAACATATCAGTGACCTTATGTTACTAACATCATGATTTATTATATTTAATTTTTAACATGAATAATAATTTTTTGGAATATTATAGATATATGTTATATATTATAAGTGGCTATAAAAGGTTGTACAATGTAATTTTACGCAAAGGATTATCTATTGAAATTGAGTTAGCTTTGTGCCTGAGCGCTTACTTATTTCGGAAGTACTGTCAAATTTTAAGATTGTACTTTAACCTTTTTCACGTTGTTTGTGCACTTCATAAACACTTCAAACTCACGGCTAGGGGATCTATCCTACATATTTTATGGAGGTTTCTTATTCTATGTTATGTAAGATTAAAAACCTAGTAACCACCCAAAGGACCAAGTACGTTGGTTTTAAATTTAACTGACAATAATTGTTGTATGTTGCTTCTTACATTGGTACTTTGTACTACAGATCCGAACTATAATTGTTGGAATTTATCTTGGGCAATTGTTGTTACTGATCACTTTAAATCAGTGGGACTCTTAAGTGTTAAACTGACGCCATCCAACTTAAACTTTTGAGTGAAGTTGAACTTGCTATTATATAGGATTTTATGTGACTACTAAAACTCAAGTCATTGAGTTAAAGTTGACAATGTAAGATTTTGCCATTGAATCTTTTTATTGTCCAACTATAAAAAGGAGATGATAGATTTGAGATCCTTGATATTGATGATTACTTTACCCCATATTTTACATTTTTCATACTCGAAGATTATAGAGATGTTTTGTTCCAATCGTTCACAAAATCTCCTAAAGATTAGAGAAATAATTTAAAGATCTGTTGGATGACAGAAGATACAGTCAAATTTAAAGTTCAGTCGAGAACTTGAGCAAGCTTTTTTTTTTTTGTTTTTTTGGTCAAAATCCAATAAAGATGACTTTTTATACCCATGAATGACCTAAGAAATGGCTATTTGATACACAAAAGTTCAACAAGAACATTAACAGTGAATCTATGTTTACTTTGGAAAACATTTCAACGGGGAAAAAAACTTAAAATCTATGGAAGAAACCCACCGGGGGGGGGGGGGGGCGGGGGTACGGAACCTATTTTTACCCTAAATCAAAATCAAATTCCCAATAGTAATAAATATCGTTGCTTTCCTAAAAAATAAATGAGGAATCACTTTTGAACAATCTACATATTTTGAAGATGTACAAGATAAGACCTTGCGAAATAGAGATGGAAAAAATATCCTTTGTGAAAGATTCTATTACTCTTTTTGAGCCACAACGATATTGATTAATTCATAGTTTTGGATTGGAGAAGAGTAATAATGATATTATTTTATACTCTTTAACGAATCTTTGGATGTTATCAACTCTTTGAAAGTCAATGAAATTTGACTAAAACTTTGTGGCAGTCTTAGTCATCTAAATATGGACGAAGGGAGTACAATCTAAGCTATACTATATCTAAAGTTAAGAAGACTTATTTTCCCAAAACAAAAAAAAAAAAATATGAATATTAATAATGATTAATTCCTGTGCACTATTACAACTTGGTATCAATCATTTTTTTATTCTCACCCAACAATTATATCACTAACTTCCCTTAAAATATTCAACAGTTATGTCAAGTTAACATCTTAATCTCACATTACAATGACCCACACGGGCTAGATATAGGTTGAAATATGGTAATTACAACCATGCTTACGTAAAAATTAGGTTGATTCCAAAATTCAAGGAAACTAGATAGAGGCCAAGTGACAGAAGTTCACTGGATGCTTCAAAGACTGAAATGGGATGGTATCAGAATAGGAAGCCAGTATTTTTCAATTAAGAATCCATTACTGGTCTAGTTGTTTGGTAATAACTTTATCACTCAAAGTAAGGATTGAAACCTCGTACTTGATTGTCTTTGGCCACTTATAAAATTTGTAGACTTCATAAGACGAAATTTTTTAAAAGATTGGTATCCTCACAATGAAGCATAAGCTAAAATCACTATTCCTTAACTTGATTTCTTAAATTTAAAAAATGTATGTGAGAAAAGGGTGAATAAAATTAGAGAGATGGAGCGAAAAGGTGGGTAGGCATAAGAAAAAAGCAAAAGTAAGAGAATGTGATTGGAAAGGTATAAAAAATTGTAAGATGGTAAAAGGAGTTCACCAAAATAGAATAAAAGTGCCTAAAAAGTCAAACAGGAGAGGTCCTTTACAAAATTTGTTAACCAAAACCAATATTTTCTTAACTCAACGAGTTGCTGTAAGTTTGGAAGACTTAGGGTCTGTTTATTTCATCTTATTTAAATTTATCTTATTTTAGAAAAAATAAGTTCCGATAAGTTCAGACAAAAAAGATTAAAAAAAATAATTTAATATAATAGTAAGTTCAGGAAAAAAAATTAAGTTCAAAAAATTCAAATAAAAAAAATTAGTTCAAACAAAATAGAATAAAATAAGTTTAGATAAAATAAAATAAGATATGAAAATATAAATAAAATAAGTTTAAAATAAAATAATTTCAGTCAAAATTAGATGAAACAGACAGAGCCTTAGTTTTTAAAGCAATAACAATCAACAGTCACGAAAGTGGAGACTGGAACAGACAATGATCAAAGAAGGATGTGGCCATGGAGTTAGTAGGGTAGCTGAAGAGGGTTGTTGAGAGGAAGGACCGCTTTTATTGTGGTGGGCTGCTAGTGGTACTCGTGAAATGGGAGGGAGGAGCAGTGTATAAAAAGGCGTGCTCAGGCGCTAGGCAAAGCGCCATTTTTGCTCTAGGCAAACCGCATTCAAAGAGGCACACATGAGCAAATTTCTTTACTGTTTTATATTGTGCGCCCAAGATGCACCTAGGTGCTGCAGGACCTTCACTGACTCATTGCGCCTTTTCATACATTGAGAAGGAGAATATGGAACCTTATACCGTAATTAACCAAACAACTGTATCTGATTTTTGGGTATCAACTCTATTCCTTCCATTTCTTGAACAAAACCAAACCAAACCAAGAAGCCCCTTATTTCAGGTTCACATCAGAACTTAGACTAATATGGTGCAAAAATCAGAAAGTGATCAAAGAGAAGAAATTGTATACTACAACATTAACATTCAACGCTACCCAATGCTTTAAAGAAACAGCTTCCTGGGTACTGGTAAAATTCCACTAAAAAATGTCAAATTTAGCGAGCTGACATAACATAGAACTCCTTCAACACAAAATGTACACAAAAATGAAGATATTCTGTGATGCATAAATTAAGAAAGTAAGGTTGCCTACATTCCAAGTCTTAAGAATCTGTAGACACAAACCTTTACATGGTGGAATGGAAGCTGGTCGTGAATCAGCTGTACCCTGTTTTACATTTTCTGCTGCAACGGCTGAATTATGGTTCATAACAAAGGGTGCCTGTTAAAAATAGATGAGGAGCAATCAGATGATAAATTTACAATAAATGACCAAGGTGAAAGATGTCTGCTTACTAACACAAAGAAGAAGAAAAAAACAATAGAGCACAAATAAAAGCTATTCCGGAATGTAGCACCAGTCCATAACCTTGTTATTTTAAAGTTCAGGGGCTTTTGAAGGGGTTCGCGTTTCCATATTCATCTGATGAACAATTTGGAACTACTCCATTTCTTTTCTCTAAGATTTTGCTGGTTCATAAAAGAGTAACATGTTCTAATTTTTTAAAAGAAAACATATTCTATTCTCTTCCAACTCTCCAAAATCTCAATGACATTCAAAAGAGATAGAGAAAATGGTAATGCAACCACCTCAGACATGGTAAGGTGAGAGCCCTTCAACAGAGTCATATGCTTGCAAATGAAGTCTGATAGATCTTTCATGTGAAGCTTCTAAAGAGTCATGGGCACTTAATTACGATTTGAAGCCGTTGCAAGTATGATGGTCAACGAAATATTCCAGTTACCAAAAAAATTCGTCTACTATGGCCTGGAACTCTGGCAGGTTCAAAATCATGCAATGAGGCTATATTCATGGGCCTCATGGCACATAGAAGCTGCATTATAATATGAAGAAAGCAAGTACTTGAAAGTCATAGTCAAGATGCCTCCTTTGCATAGGTAAAGAGCATAAGCCAAAAAAATACGCTAAAGCGAATTTGCAATTATGAATATTCATCCAACTCAAACAAGCAAAACAATACAACACAAGCCAATTCCTTCATAGAATTTAAGTAATTACAAACCAAATTATGACAAAATTTGGTTACACTAGCTTAATTCTATATATGATCAACTCATCTTCCAATTCATTTTTATTCGACCCATAATTTGTCTTCCGCCAAAGAACAATCTAGTGGCAAGAAAGCATTACAAAACATTGAACAATTTTCACTAAAATGCATTGAATTTGTGCCCAAAAATTCAAGAAAATGAATCCATTCACCAAATCAAATAACACAAAATTTTCATATATAAGCCTCAAATCAATAATATAAATAAACAACCCATCAAATCAGAGAGCACTAAACCTCAAAAATAAGCCCCAAAATCATGAAAAAGTGCCCAATCAACTCACACAGCACTAACCCCCTTCAAAATCAAATCGATTGAAATTGATGAAATGAAACCAAACCATCAAATCAAATAAACACACAAACCCAAAAAAAAGAACAAAAATCTGAGCTCATAATCAATTCAAAGAGATTAAACACGAAATCAGCCAATCAAAATATATATATAAAAAAAAAAAAAAAAAAAAAAAAAAAAAAAAAAAAAAAAAACCCCAAAACAAGAATCAAAGCTTTAACCAATTCCCAAATCAACAAAGAGCTGGAAATTCAAGAAGACCTACCCAATTCAAATTAATTCAAGGAAATTAAAAAAGAAATCAACTAATCAATCAAAAAAATCAACAATTTGCAAAAAATAACTAATAAAAAAATTACCCCAGTCAAAGCGACAGCAGCACAAGCCAAATTGAGTTTATTCTTAAGAACAGCATGATAATCATCAGAATCAATAGGAACAACACTCGATCCTTGACGATTCAACGACGTCGTTCCGTTCCCCAACGATTGCGCACCCAAATTATTATATTTACTAGTAACATCGGCGGTAGTTGCGGCGGTGACTGAGGTGGCGGCGGTACCAGAAGCAGCAGCAGAAATAGGGGGATCTTTGATCTCAACGGCGTCGTTTTCAGCCATTGATTTAGAAGAAGAAGAATCAGAAATAGGTGAAGTTTCTTGTAAGAATCTCTCGAAAGCCCACTCAGATGCGCTTCTGTTCATCTTTGATTCGCCGGCGGGTGGCGGCGGTGGAGGCGGCGGCGGTGACCAGAATTGGTCGGAAATGTCTCCAACTGAGAAGACTCTGTCCATTTTTCAATTTATTTTTAATTTATTTTTTTGCTTTTTTGGGGGTAAAGAGGGAAGAAATTGATTTTATTTAAATGGGTTTTTTTATATTTTTGTGTAAAGATTTGATTTTTATATGTGGATTGGTATTATCTGGATTGTGATGATGATGAGGGTATGATTTTTTTGGGTGTTTTTGATTTGATAAAGTTTGAGTTTTTCTTGTGAAAGAGGGTGGGTTGTTGGTATATTTGGGAAAGCTAATGGAGAATCGTCCAAGAACAACTCTCTTTTTATATGGCTATGTAATAAATTTTTATTTAAAATATATATTTATGTGTGTAAGTGTATGTACGATTACTACAAGTTGCTACTTGCTTTGAGTGTCCTTTTAAACTTTTTTAAAATTCGGGCGGAATTAGGTTGACCTTCGAAGATATGTTATAGATGTGAGGGGGGGGGGGGGGGGTAAATATTGTTAGTTAAGAAGTTGGGGGGTTCTGAATGGATGAGTTATATCTTATACTTTCTCCGTTCTATTAATATTGCAATAAGGAAGAAATTACGCATCCCAAATCACATTTAATATGCTAAATATCTATAATTGTGTAAGAGTAAAAATTATAAAATGTTGATATTGTGAAAGTATTTTATGAGACGAATCCAATAAGATCCCACATGACTATATTTTGCTTAACGTATAAATCATATTATATAGTCAAACTAGAGTGATGAATAATGCAAAAAGTCCATTGTTGCAATATTAATAGAACGGAAGAAGTATGTTCTTGGACACTCAATAATTTATGCTTTCTAGATGTATCTTATTGGAAGGATCAATTATCAAAAGAATACAAGTTAGAATCACAATCTTGAAAGATATTATATGGGCGTTTTATAAAAGTTATAATCATGAAGGTTATTCCATTATGGTTAGATTTTGAATATATGTTCATGGTATTTTTGCTTTCATGATTTCAATGAAAATAGCGAAGACTTTTATTAGTTTTAAGGATCTTGATATCATCACAAGTTTTACCACCACAACATATTAAGCCACTTACTCATCAAATCAAATTCGATCTGGTAAAATTTGATCTGATAAAACCAAATCCGAGGCTAAATTCGAGATTGTGTGGTGGAATTTAAGGTATGTTCTCGTTTTTTTTTTTATTATTCTTCTTTTTTTTTTGGTTTTTGATATTTTCTTATATAGAATTTTTTGGGTTGTGGTTGGTAATCTGAATTGTAAGGATAGGGGTTAGAGTGGTTCGTTTTAGGTGGGGTGGGGTGGTCATGGTGGTATGTAGGAAGGGGAGGAAAGGAGGTGGGGTGGGTAGTGGTGGTGTACTGTGAAGGGGAGAAATAGGGGTGGGTCTGGTAATGGATACCTTTATTGCATCACTTGTTTTTAAGGATGTTTTATAAATATTGCACCTATCTATTTTAGGAAATAAAATATTTGTATTCAAACTAGATTCTTTAGTTTAGGTTTACATCATGTGGATAAAATTGTACTTTTACCCCTCTCTTTCTTCCTTTTTCCCACTACTAAAAAAATTATTTCAATAATAATAAAGAAGGAAGTATAAGATATGGTTAGGTTAAGTAAGCGATACGTAGATACAATATTATTAGAGATAGATAATATAATGGAATTAAACTGTGTTAAGGAATCAGGTTATATGATACTTACAAAATCTATCTTAATTTTAGGATTCTAATCAGAATTATTTTAGGATGATTTTATTGGCTTATCCTAAAAATAATTACCATAAGGCAAACTAGGTGGCGCTATGTGATTGGTTCAAATTATCCATGTAACATTTTTAACGTAAAAAGAAAAAGAAAAAAAAATTAAAAATTAAAAATTGGCTGGTTTAAATCTTGAATGTTGTTTGGCTCATTACTTTGGCACAATGCTAGGATGAGGATTGGTCATAGATATAATGTAGCCCTATACATATCAAAGTTATCGAATGGGGATGTTTTTCTTCCCATATGCTTATATTGATGCTGGAAAATTGTTTATACTTTTAATGACTATGTTGAATGTTTGAGGTGCTAGGTTCGATAGTCTTTTAGGTGCAGGCACACTTGAATTCGTGGGACTTCAGATAGTGATGTATATGGCCTAAATTTTTAGGCCCGTTATTTTGATGGAGTTTTTATGCCTGTTCTAGAAGCTTCAAGAATAATCAAGTATGGTTAGTTCTTGCTTATGTTTTCTTTAGAATTATCTACTTTATTGTTCTTCTTGAGAATTCTTGACATTAGAAGTAAATATAATACATGGTTCGTAAACATTCTAGAATATTATGGCTATAAAAGTAATGAAGGAAGTTATGGAATCTTCTGGCCATTTCATACAAGCTCCATCTTCACCTATATATAAATATAGGTCATGGACTCATGGGCATTCAATCAACACACACACACGCACACAAGAAACCATACTTATACATAAGCCTTTCTACTTATCTACCCTCTTTATAATTCACCCTTTCAAGGGCTATTGTACTCTCCTATTTTCATACAGTGGATTATTTTGGTGCTCGTCATTCGTAGGTTTTTTTTGATAATTTTCCCACGTTAAATATCTGTGTCCATTTCTTTCACTATTTATCTTGCCTTGATACTTTTTTTATTTTTCCAATCTCAACCTCTTTAATTTGCTTTTGCTGTGTGCACTCACCAACCCTAACATGATGTGTGATAAAAAGTTACAAATTATTTCAAACTTAATGGAAAACTTAAAGTCAACAAAAAATATTAATCCCTCAGTCCCAGAATATCTGGGCTTTAGACTTTTTTCACTATTTTTTTTTTTGGTTAAAATAGGTAAATATATTAATTAAGGCCCATCAAGGCTTAAAGTAGCAACAGTACTAGTAGCAGTAGCAGTTAGGGGAGCTAGGAGTTCATCACAGTTAAAGTTTACAAACATAGGATCCATACATAACATACTAATGACGCCCACAACACTTCCTTCCCACCAAGCACGGACGCCAGCAGATGTGCTTGAATCACCTAGCCTCTTGGGAGACACTGAACATTCAGCTCCTCTATCCTTGTTATAAACTCCTTGCAAACACTTGCAATATTTAAATATTTGTCTCTAATTTTAGGAGCACCCACAATACTTGTAATAGCAATTCTAGAATCGGAGCATATATTCACATCACTCCAATTATGATAACTAGCCTAAGCAGCAGCAATTAGTATAGCTAGGAACTCAGAAAAATTGGCATCTTCAGACTTGGACTTCAATAAGAAGCCCCCTGACCACTCCTTAGAAGAAGTGTAGCAGATACCCCTAATGCCCACCTCATAGGTGTGCTGATTAAAGGAGGCATCAACTAGAATGACAAATTTTGAAGGGTGAGGAAGATGAATCAGCTTGTTAAAGGGATCAGTTGGAGGGGTACAAGGTTAAGCATAGAAATATTCAGAACATAACCACTTGATAGATTTGGCAAGGGAGGGAAGAGGGGTATTAACTTGGGAAAAGACCCAACTATTCCTTCTCTTCCATATGAGCCAACATGACACAACAAAGATATAAGAGCCAAGGAATGCCATCATGTGAATAGTTATGAGTCAAATTAACTCTAATCCACTCCTTGAAGTGTATAAAGTTGGTATAGGGGGGCTTAGCATCTGCCAAACTTCAACAGCTCTTGGGCATTTCCATAAGACATGGGTTGGGGATTCATCCACAACCTGACAAAAAGGGCAGGAAGCAAAGGTTGGTATGCCTCTCCTAGCCAAAGCTTGCTTGGTTGGGAGGGCATTTAGGCTTGCTTGCCACAAGAAAGTCTTGAGTTTTGAGGGAATAGGAGCAGTCCAATTGCCTCCCAAAAATTAAAGGCTGAGCTAATGTCAACTCCATTAGACTCCAGCGAGACCTAGGAATAAAGGCTGGAAGCATTAAAAGATTCCCCACTGGCATGAGAACAGATAAGGTTATCCTCAGTACCAGGGACGATTCTGATAAACTGAATCTTCTCCTTTATATCAGGGGGAAGATGCACGGAGATGGCAGAGAAGTCCCACCCCTCATGGCTGGTCACTTGGTCAATAGTGAGAGATTCATCAGAGGGGGGTAAAAGGCCATAAATGAGCTGTCTAAGAGAGCCAAGAGAGCACGCACCATTTATCATACCAAAAGGAGAGCTGAGAGTTCTGACCAGCAACCCAAGCAGTAGAGGAAGAGAAAAGGTTCCAACCTTTTCCCATGTCTTGCTAGATATGAGAACCAGATTTGAAGGGCTTAAAGGTGGGCCTGTTAGCAATATAATTATGATGAATAACCTTAGAGGCAAGGTTGTCATAGGAGTGCATCTTCCAACATAGCTTGGCCATAGCTATTTCATTGGAGATCACATTAGACCTCACTCCAAGACCCCCAAATTTGATAATTTTTTTCCAAGCCACCATCGGAAGCTTCTTGTGGTCAAGGCTAGCTCCCTAGAAGAAATCTCTAGTGATGGCATCAAGAGAATGAAGGATGGACTTGTGCATAAAGATACACTGCATGGTGTCGAGAGGGATGGAATTCAGGGTTGACTTGATCAACATAAGTCTACCAGCCTTAGATAGGTACTTAATTTTCCACTGAGCAAGCCTGTTTTGAACTTTTGGAATGACTGGAAGAAGGGTAGATTTAGCAGGTCTTTTGTCACATAGAGGGAAGCCCAGATAGGTACCCAAATCAAAAGTGGGGGAGACATTGAAGTGAAGAGAGATATGATCTCTTAGCTTAGGAGAGGTGTTCTTTGAGAAATAGAGCTTGCTTTTGCTGGGGTTCATCTTCAATCCAGATAGATGAAGGAAGGTGTCCAGGACATTCATAACTGCAGAAGCTGTTTGAAGGGAGGATTCTCCAAATAAGAGGATATCATCAGCAAATAAGAGGTGGGAGATTAAAAGAGAGGATCTTAGAAAATTGAAGGGGAACCAGGAAGCATCAGAACAAGCTTCAGAGATCATCTCTAACAACAACTCCATTCACATGATAAAAATGTAGGGGGAGATAGGGTCCCCTTGCCTTATTCCTCTAGAGGAGGGGAAGAAGGGGGAAGGCTGCCCATTGAATAACATAGAAGAGGAGTTGGAGAAGATACAACTCATGATGAGTTTGATGGACATAGCATCCAGGCCATGATAACAGAGAACTTGATGGATAAAATCCCATTCCAAAGTGTCATAGGCCTTTTAATTTCTAGGTCTATTTTGATAGCAAAGAAGCCCTTCCTGCTAGGGGTGAGCACGGATCGGATATCCGTATCCGAAAAATAAGATATTTGATATCCGTATTCGATCCAAAATTTTCGGATCGGATACTTCGGATATCCAATATC